GCAGCTGTCTGCATCTCCTGTCTGGGGTCTGTACAGCCGCACCAGAGGACAGGGCTCGGGCGGGGGGCTGGCTCCTGGGAGCGGCGGCCCCATGTTCTGTTCCTTTCACCGCTGCGGTTCCCGGGAGAGCTCTGCGGTTCCGCAGATACCGATTTATATCCGTGGATATCCGAATCGGGGGATATAAATTTGTATCCCTGCAGAGCTCTCTAAATAATGTCAATAAATGAGAGTCAGACCTAGTGAAATGTAAAGGTTGATGCTGTTGTTAAGGAAGATTCTCTTAATATTTCTCTCAATTGCAAAAGTTATCATTTGCTTAGCTCTGTACACTAAAAATGGCTCAAGAATCTGTTTGTATATTAAATCTATCCACAAACTACAGGAGTTTAGCTGATGTAGCTGGTAATAAAGATTCTGAATATGAGTTTTCAACATGTATATTTAATAGGTCTCACAGTTTAAGATAAAGTGCATCTTAATCATAGGCACCGACTCTCTGGGTGCTCAGTGGTGGGCAGGAGGCCCTGGGAGGGGGCAGGGGAAGGAAGAGGAGGAGCGAGGGTGGGACATACTTGAGGGAGGGAGTGGAACAAGGTAGGAAGAGGTGCGGGAGGGGGCAGAATGGGGGTGCGAAGAGGCAAAGTGGGGGTGGAGCTTTGGGGGAAGGGGTGGAGTGAGGGCGGGGTTGGGGCAGAGCAGGGGTCGAGACCCCTGGGGAAATTAGAAAGTCAGTGCCCTTGATCTTAACTAATGTATATATTTCTGTACGCTACAGAAAATATAGTTTTGGCTTATGCCTTGAGCAAAATACCTGCAAGCCATCTGAGAAAAATTATTTAAATAGCATTAAAATGGGAAAGAATTTTAAGTAACATCTATCATTCTTTAAATTTTAAATGTTGAACATAAGAACAGCTATACTGGACCAAACCAATGGTCCAGTATCATGTACATTCCCTAGGCCAAGTGGGACATCCATGACCTCCTTTAAAAGACTCATCTGTAGAAGTCATAGAGATATACATAAAAATGGCCAGGATGGACAAGACCAATGGTCCATCTAGCCTAGTATCCTCTCTTCCTACAGAGACCAGTACCAGAAGGAATGAACAGAACAGGGCAATTTAATTGAGTGATCCATTCCACACCATCCAGTCCCAGCTTCTGGCAATCAGAGGATTAGGGACACCCAGAGCATGGGGTTGAATTCCAGACCATCATGGCCAATAGCTATTGAACTTATACTCCAATATCCTCCATGAACTTATCTAAATTCTTTTTTGAACCCAGTTATCCTTTTGGCCTTCACAACATCCACTGGCAATGAGTTCCACAGGTTGACTGTTCACTGTGTGAAGAAATATTCTCTTATGTTTGTTTTAAACCTACTGCCCATTAATTCCATTGCATGACCTGTGCTTCTTGTGTTTTAGGAAGGAGTAAATAACACTTCTTTATTCACTTTCTCCACAACATTCATGACGTTATAGATGTCTATCATATCGCCCATTAGTTGTCTCTTCTCCAAGCTGAACTGTCTCAGTCTTTTTAATCTCTCCTCATATGGAAGCTGTTCCATACCCCTAATCATTTTTGTTGCCCTTCTCTGTACATTTTCCAATTCTACAGCAAAAGCTGTTTAATCCAGCATGTTGGGAGAATTGGGGGTGCTGGTAAGTGAAAAATGCTGGTTAACTGAGAGGGAGGGAGTTTGGGTGCAGGAGCAGGCTTGGGGCAAGGGGTTGGGGCACAGGAGGAGACTCAGGGTGCTGGATCCGGGGGGGGGTGTGTGCTCACCTTGGGTGGCTCTCCACAAGCAGTGACCTGTCCTGGCTGTTCCTAGGCGGAGGCGCGGCAGACGGCTCTGTGCGCTGCCCCCGCCCTGCCCCGAGCACTGCCTCCACCCACAGGGCGCCGCCCCTGCAGCTCCCATTGGCTGCAGTTCCCTGCCAATGGGAGCTGTGGCACTAGCGCTCGGGGCGGGGGCAGCGCGCAGAGCCACCTGCCGCGCCTCCGCCTAGGAGCAGCCGGGACAGGTTGCTGCTTGTGGGGATCCCCCAACTGAGGTGAGCGCCTCCCGGATCCGGCACCCCAGAATCCCAACCCCCTGCCCTGAGCCCCCTCCCACACCCAAGCTCCCTCCCAGAGCCCGCGCCCCACACCCCTTCTCATGCCCCAGCCCTGCATCCCCTCCTGAACCCAAACTCCCTTCCTCTTAATTAACCAGCATTTTTCACTTACCAGCACCCCAAATTCCCCCAACATGCTGGATAAAACAGCTTTGACTGTATTATAACTGAGAACTAGTAGTGGAGATACACAAATGGATAATAGCCTGATGTTGTCTTCTAAAAAGCTGAAATTCTGTTCAGTTACACTGGTGTAACTTTGGAGTACAATTGGAGTTATTCCAGATTTTATACAGGTGTAACTGAGAAATGAATTAGGTTCTAACTATTTACATTTATGTATAATAACAGTAGCTAAGCTGCATTATTTACCATCTTTGAAATAAAAAGCATTTAACAAGAAAACTTGGTGGTCAAGCAGTTCACATAGGTAAGAGTCAGGAATGTCTCAGTAAAGCTTCAAGAAGATAGACAGCAAAGATCAAAATCATGTTTAATGCAAATGTGGAGTAAGAAACAACTGCAGCAAATGGAAAAAAAAATTAGAGTGTAGTCCGACTGATCTGTTATTCCAAAACACAAAGCTAAGTTGAAGACATGAATAAAGCTTTGATGGAGAGCCTTTGAAAGATTAGACACTGTCATGAAGAGGAAAATTGCCTCTCCTTAAAAATACATTTTTTGCACCAACGTTCTAACAGCAATGGCATAAGGAAGCAAAGTTGAAATTTGGGAGGCACAGATTGTGAAAATATTCAGTACTCTGAGTGAAATGGAAAGGAAGGAGAACATACAAATTGACTAGAAACCAACAATGGAGAATAATTTCAAGTTGAGCCACTGTAGAAAACTAACATACATTATAGGGGATCACCCTATTTTCTGGGGAAGTTGGTTTACACAGCATGTGTCATTTTGCAGATCTAAGTTTAAATTAGATATCTGATGTTTTCATGTATTGTATATACCACCAGGAAGGAGACTGGTGTAGTATCCCAACCTCACTGATCTTATCCCATTCTAATTGCCTTGTTCAGTGTAGACTGCATATAGAGGGTAGACAGCCCAGATAAAGTAGGTAGAGAGGCCAGCTTTGTGTGGACATAAAGTCAAGTATGGAGCCACGACTAATATGAGAAGAGCAACATAAAAAAGAAAAGCACAGAATACCTACTATAATCTATTGCTTTCATAGATCAGTACCATTCTAGAAGAATGAATAGATAGAAAAGCTGTTGCTATTAAGTGAAAGAGCTATGTTCCCCTACATTTCTCCCCATAAAATCATCCTCCAAAACCATATGAGAGATTCGCACTTCAGGTTTAGTCCCTTGAGGTGCTCAACTCCCACCGCAGTTGGAAAGGGTGATCGGTATCTCACATGGTTGGGCCCTTCTGTTTTTTAAACATTCCCTTCTGAACGTTTATGTAAAAAAAATCAGGAAGAAAACAATTTACTAAAATAAAAATAAGAGCAGATGCTTATTAACAGGAGATCAATGTTCTGGTCTTTAATGTTTCCATATTCCACCACAACATAATATTTGCTACACTTTGATTTCACTTTGAGCATTGCATTTTCATCATCAGAACTGCCTGCTGTGTGCAGAGATCCAAAGAGAATTTAGAAAGATGCCCATTATTACGGTTTTACACGTAACATGTTGAATTCTATTTTTGTGACTAGAGCGGTGGATTAATTTGAAGGGTAGCTATTAGGATAGTCCAAAAGTATATTCTTAAATTTTCAGAGGCATTTATGATCAGTGCCTCAATGATAAAGGGCCAACTATTATTCCATTTCACAAATCTCAGGCTTGACATCATGTTAATTTCAGGCAACAGTCAGAAATGTACAACCTTAGGGAAACTTCCAGCATTAGAATCATGATGTTCCAAGGCCTCAAAAAATGATGTTTCTTCCAGTCTAATTGCATTACTTATAGTCCACAGTCTCAGGGAATAGTAAATAAAAAGTTGGCCATGGTTAAAACGGCTGAGGAAACTTAAAATGTTTTTCTTGGCTATACATCACTACTAAACAATATAGGCTAAGATTTGTAAAATTTTGCATCCTCATCATTTGTACTGCAGTTACGTACACAACTGCAATAAGTGTACGTGCATCTTTATCAGTTAGCTGTATTTGCATGACATTTCCTATAATTGCATGCATGGTCATGGTAATTATTCACATGCACATTTGTAAGCGAAGAGTTCAAACAGTCAATCCATTGTCCTCAGCAGGGTTGCATAGGTGTAACATAGGGCAGGGGACTGGCCACATGTGTTCTGCATTTCTATTTTTGCAAAAATCCAGCCATTTGTAATTGAGCAACTTATCTGTGATGTGTTTTTAGATAAGAAAAAGGAACATTGTTTTATTATACACAAACACGCAGATATATTCCTCATTCATAATATTGTACTGGGAAAAAAATAGAACCATGTTTACACATAGGCCTGTGGTTAAATTAGCCTACCTAATTTTAAAGAGAGGCTTAACGATGAGCTCAATTAACCAGCAACCCACCCTTAGGAAAAACAGGTATTCATAGAGTGTTGCTGAACGCCAGTGCATACATTTTAAATGTCAACACATTTTTTTAAAACACGGTTAATGCAAAACTCAGGCCAAGAATTCAATGGCAGTAAGGCAGTTTACAACAAGTGAGGCTCTGGCTCTCACACTGGAATCTGAATTTTTCCACAGTGCAGAGAGTGGGGAGGAGGGTTATTGGCTGTTAAGTAACGGCTCATCCCTAACCAACAGGTTTGCTGAGGTTTGTGAACCTTTGGGTGAGCCTGGATTGAGTTTAAAGTCAACCTTGGCCCGATGTATGGCTTCAGGAGGAAATCATGTGATACCTGGGACTTGGTACTGCAGAGTACAGGTATGGGATGTCATGCATATGTCTATCCATGTCATTGGCAAGGCTCCCATTGGCTTCTGTTGGCACTGGATCAAAGCCTTGAAGTACAAGATAAATAGTGACAGAGACCTTAGGGGAAACTCAGTTCCATACAGATAAACAGGCTATTGTGTACCCACATAATTACTCCTGCCTATTTACAGCTCTTAAGGCCAAAGAGGACAGTGTATCCATCTACTTGGAGTACCGAGGGTTGCACATAAGGCCACATCTCCCACACATTTACTTACCACATCCTTTTTCCTATGCACCCTTCAGAATAAGGGAATAGGTGTCTATGGGTATGTCTACACTGCAATTAGACACCCACAGCTGGACCATGCCAGCTGACTTGGACTAAGGGGCTGTTTAATTGCAGTGTAGACGTTTAGGCTCAGGCTGCAGCCCAGGTTCTAGGACGCTGCAAGGGGGGGGAGGGTCGCAGGGCTTGGGCTGCAGCCCAAGCCCGAACAACTACATTACACTTAATCAGCCCCTTAGCCTGAGCCCCACAAGCCTGAGTCAGCTGGCTCGGGCCAGCTGTGGGTTTTTAATTGGAGCGTAGACATACCCACTGGGGCTTCAGATTCACTGAGCTCAGTTTGGGGACTATGCCTAAGCCCTTACCTTACTTGCACCCCCACACTTGCCCTTTGACTTTCTGCTTCATATGAATCCTGAGCCCAAAGCAAAGCAAAAAAGAAAAGGCTCATAAGCATTGCACACTGGCCCCACCAAGTTTCATAACTACAGTGGACACCACTGAAAATTCAACATTCCCTATCACACAGACTCCTGCAATAGCCTTGGTATCTTAGGCTTAGAAGATACTACAAGAGGAGGTTATTTACAGTAATGTTATGGCCTGAATTAATGTAACATGAATAAATTACATACACCTTACTAAATGTTAAGCCTATTTTGCAGTCACATACAATACTGGTAAAGTATGCATAAGTTGCATCTCAGACTTAGAGGGGGAAAATCACATTGCAAACATACAAAAATTATAATTTTTCCCTATTTCTTTACTAGTGTAGGTTTCTTTGATGCTAATAAACAGAAAATTAGAATGTTCCAGCAATGTGAACCTCCTGAAAGTTAAATCATTGCTATAATAAACCTCATGTTGCTTACATGCTACTTTGTTTTATGCTTGTAATGAGACACTGTGAAAATGCAAGTGAACTTGACCTCACCCTAATCTTTGGACTTGCAGAATGATCTGTGCTTGAAACTTCCTCACATTTCCTTTCATGTGCCAAATCAAGACTGAGACCAATCAAACAAAGCAGCGTGTCCTGATGGCTTGACTCTCAGCTCTCCAGACAGTTAACACTACCTATGGAAAAATTAGACAATCTGTTTTCTTTGCAGACTTACAACTGCTATAGTACTTTATAGGACACTAATTTCCCAACAGTGTATATTTTGAAGCTGACAAGTGTTAAGCTATGATTAAAAAATTCAAAATGAATCCACGTATCTGTCACTTAGTTAACCCCGGTTGCACGGGTGACCACAACTGGAACCCATCTGTCAACAATTTATATAGAAGGTAGGTGCTGCTGAGACCTCATAATGAGGTGAATTGGTTAATTTTCTCATTGCTAGAAGATCAAATGAAGAATTTGACTCAAATAATGTAAAACGGAGATGAGTCTAAAGTAAAGTAGAAGATTCAATTACACTTATCTCAAGGAAAGATCCACAGAGCAATACAGTAAATATGAAAACAAAATCAATGAGTACCTTCAGTTGATGGTGTCCAAGAAGTCATGAGTATTCTGTAGTCCACTCTACTGTTTGAGAAAAATTATTTTATCAATTGCATAAAATATTTACCAATACTTAAGAACACACTAACATGCAAAATTCAAAACATTTTCAATAATCACTAGCTACATCAAAAATCTGAAACAGTTGCTTAGTTCAATCTAGATTAAATCCTTATTTGGGATTCCTTTGACCAAAAAAACGTCCATTTGATGTTTGTGTATAAAAGCTTTCAGCATGCTCTCTTTTTGTTTATTTATCTATGTATTTGTTGGGGCTAGGAGGGAAAGGCCACTTATGATTTGCTCAAAAAACACTTACATGTATGTGTGTAACTTTCCCACATTCAGAGTTCCACAGGACTACTCACATGCATAATTATGTACCTCAATGTTTGCAGGATTGGGGCTTTAAAGGTTATCACAATACCTGACTTTTTGTAACATGCTATTTTTAATTTTTTTCCAAGAACAGAGTAAGTCATTCAGATAAAGTAAGGAATAGGTTTTACTGGACAACACAAAACACCACTGTATAATCAACCAACAGTACTCCACTACTTGGCTAGTTATTTCATACGGCCAATAATGTCAGAAATGTACTGAATTTAAGCAAATGCAGAAGTATGGGAATCAACTTCAGACTGAGGAAGCATTATTTTTTACCCCAAGAAACAAAAAAGCAGAGCAAAACCCAACAACAACACAGTGAACACCCTGTAATTCATTTCCTAATTTAATTATATTTTAGAAGCCACCATTGCATTGCGTTTTCTCTCTCCCCCAGCAGTAGCAAGAAAAGGGACAAACTGCAAAACAGAATCCTTTATCTGTGGTTTTGTCTCATAAAAGCCCATGTTAATTTCAATGAAAGCACAAGTGGAGAAGTATAGCAGCTGGCCCTTAAATATATGGAAAAATAGCAGCAGTTTTACTGCCATAAGATTTTTTTTTTCCAAGACTTGTAATGCCCATGGTAACATGTGCAAGTTTCTTTAAGGAGGTGCTCTGTATGTATATGTGCAATGCCCAAGTAAATGCTAGGGTTTTTATAAAGCAGCAGAAAAAATGGGTTTGTAAAGTCATTGTATCTTAAATAGAAAAGGAGTACTTGTGGCACCTTAGAGACTAACCAATTTATTTGAGAATAAGCATGCATCGGTATGCATCTGATGACGTGAGCTGTAGCTCACGAAAGCTTATGCTCAAATAAATTGGTTAGTCTCTAAGGTGCCACAAGTACTCCTTTTCTTTTTGCGAATACAGACTAACACGGCTGTTACTCTGAAACCTGTATCTTAAATGTCTACTAAGTTACCCACATTGATTACAATATCTTACACATTTATCCTCCCCTTTTGAAAAAAATTGGAAATTTAGTTATTTATTTTAGACTAGGGAAGGCAATGGGAGAGATTTTTTTTTTTGAAGTTGGGTAGCCATATGCATTCAAATTTGTATATGAAATTATCATGATGTGCAAAAATTGGGTAACAATTGCACGCAAATCAGTAATTAGGTGAATTTGCACACACAGCTGATTTGCACATATATGTACAAGAATTTTTATATCCTTTGCACATTTTTCCTCTGCAGAGTGCGCGATACATGTTTAGGGTATGCCTACACAGCAAAAGATGACTGGTGGCAGCACGTCTCAGAGTTGGTTCCACTGGCTTTGGCTCGCGGGACTCACACTGCAGGGCTAAAAATAGCAGTATAGACATTTAGCCTCAGGATGGAGAAGGAGGGTCTCAGAAACTGGACTCCACCCTTAGTACTAATATTTACACTGCTATTTTTAACTCTGCAGACCCTGACTCTGAGACTTTCTGCCATTTTTTCCCTGTGCAGATGTATCCTTAGATACACAGAGTTGTACTAATTTGGAAGTTACTTAAAATGAGAAATTAAATCCCTTGTTAGAAGTATGACACCAAAATTATGGTGTTAAAAGTTGCTAAAAAAAGATAAAAGTAAATGAGATTACAGTCATTTATATATATTAATTAGAACAAATTTTCCAGATGAATTTGTTGCAGTGTTTATTTATGAAAGAAAATGATACCTTTAGATTTAGTAACAAAGTTGTGAAATGTATTTGGATGTTGTCCCATGTTTTGGTTCTTTTCCATTTACTTGTACTAGTTATAATAAAACACAATTGTGTATATTCTATATAGTACCAACCTATCAAGTTGCCTGGTTGCAATCAGAATATGAGCACATTTTTCCAGATCCTGTGAGAGAAGAATCTTGGAATAACATGAAAAATATTTTAAATTGTCACCTTATGAACTGAAGTGGCTGTTGTTCTTTTACTTCTGATTTTTATAAGTGAAAGACAGACACATGCCATTTCTTCAGGTGCTCTTTATCCATATTGATATATGCCAAGTTAGTTTTTTGTTCTTTTGACATTCAGATCCATTCAAACTCCACAGACTTCAAGACAGAGAGGATCTCTGAATACTACATATCATACAGGCATAGAAAGAAGTGTTTACAATAAAGTCCTTAGGGGTCAATAGTAAATAAAGTAAAATAATATCTTAGTACTTTATATGTTCTAAGCACTTTACAGACATTAATTAATTCTCAATTGTGGAGCAGCTAGATACATGTAAGTATTAACCCTATTTTACAGATGGGGAAACTGAGGCAAAGGGGAGCTAATAGACTCAAATCCATACTTTGAGTAAGTGGAAGATACTGGAAAGATCATAAAGCAACAAAACCAAGAGGGCAAATGGAAGAAGGTAGGATGTATAAAGAGGCAATACAACAAAAATTTGGGAGCATGCAGGAAGCATGCACAAAGAGAAAGTAAACAGTGAATTTTTCAAAAGATGACACAAAGTCAGCACAACATTGCCCTCTACCTCCTCTCAACTCTGCCAGTAATGTAGGAGATTCACTAGCTCACTCCTCCCACACAGAGTGTCTGAAAGCTTGGGGAGGTGGGTGTTGAACAAGGGACATCCTTACTCTAACACTCACTCATTAAATGGCAACAAACCTTTGTTAACACAGAGTTAAGACTGCCCAGTGAAAGCCTGTGCCCTTCAGAACATCGAGTTCTGAAGTGACTTGTCCAAGGTCACTCAGTAGCCCAATGGCAGAGCTAGGAATAGTCCTAGTCTAGTGGTCTTTCCAGTTGGCCACAGGGTTGCTATGTACTCAGTGATCATCCCCATTCCAGTACATTTTGTTATAATGCAATGGGGTTGATGGTCATGCTTTGAAATATTTGCAATATGTAGTTGCTAACAGGGCTGGTGAGAGAAATCTCATCCATGGCCTAGGTCCCAAAATCTTGACAGTTTTACTACATGGTTGTTACAGTAACCTTAAGTGTGAGAGAAGACTGCAGTATTTCTCTTTCTCCACTCCTCCCCCACAACATGTAGTTCCCCCTCCCCCACCATTTCCAGCTCCCCTCCCCTTTCCAGTTCATTAAGCCACTAGTTGGCACTGTGGAAGCTATTAACATGTAAGAAGTTGCTCCTTGTTGTCTCCTGTCCTATACTGCTGCAAATAAATATCACAAGCAGCAGCTTACTGGAGGGCCACAAACTACCTTGCTTATGTAGCCCAAGCTGCATGCTGAGCTGGGCCCCTTGCTCCTACTACCCACCCCCAACTGGGACTTCTGCCCCTGCTTCAGCCAGGTTTCCCCAGCCATGCTCCAGGCCCACTCACTCCTCCCCTCCTCCAAACTAGCCCCCCCACTCTGGCCAGTCCCCCACCTGACACAGGGGTGTTGTATATCTTCACTATTTATTTTCTGGATTTCAGATGTTTAAATTTGCATTACCTTCAGTTCACCCAGATCCAGGCTCACGTGGAGGAACAGGGAGAGGGGCTCAGACACTCCAGAGAAGCAGGGACCCCGACAGAGAGGGCGGAGTGGAAGAGGGCCTTGGACCCCCCAGATCCTGCACACACAGAAGGGGGAAAACATGAGGCTGACAGACAGGCACCCATGTCTTATTGTCCCCCAGTCCACCTGACAATCACCCCTATGTGTACTCATTACCCCCTCATCTGAGCTCCCCAACCCTCTCATCTTCCCTACCACCAGCCATCCTCGTTCATACCCCTCCTGTCAATGAAGTCTCAGTTTGGAGAGCTGGGGTAAGGAAGGAAGATGATGGGCAAACCCTGGAAGCTGGAGAGATAAAGAGAACATGAGCCAAAACACATGTCATAGTAAAAGGTGTGGGGCGGAAAAGGGGAAATTTCAACTCTTCCAGTCCTTGTTTGGAACCTAACAGCTCTGGTTAATGCTACTTTACCTGTCGCTTGCTTTTCTTCATGCAGCATGAGCCAAATTCTGCCTTCAGTTGCTCACGTGCAACCACACTGACTTGGATGACCCTGGTTAATGGAAGAAACCCTGTTTTAAGGGTTTTGTTAGATGGTAAGAATAAAGCAAGATCCTTTTGCTGTCTGAGATTTAACTTAAATAATACATATCACTAAGGATACAGAGTTGGATTCTGCTCCCACTGAAGTCAAAAGCAAATCTTCCAGTTAGCTTCCAGAAGGAGAAGCATCAGGTCATTTGTCTATAAATGGTGCACAGAGAACAAAGCAAACTAGCAAAAGTGTCCTCCATCACCTGATGAGCACTGGCTGACCCAGTTGTGGGTCAGGGACATATACATTTTTAATTTAAAAAGCTATGTCAGAAGGATTACTTGATTCTTGATATAGCATTTAAATAAATCTACATATCTGTCAAAACCAACTCCAGAGACTAAGTGGGAGGATGGAATTAATACAGTGGCAAAAGTTAATTTTACATTAACATTGATCACAAATTGGGTTCTGGTATTTTTTTTTAAAAACTCAATGTATACTAAAATTATTCTTTTGTTAATCAAAAAAAGTATCCTTTTTGGAAATAATATATTCCTGCTGGATCTTAAATTTCTTTTGCTACGATTACATTTTGTACTTCATCCAAGGAAGCTCAAAAAACTGTACAAACTGTGTTATTTGGAATATTATCTCACTCTTAAAGGGACTGAAAAGTAAAACCAAACGAGAGCCATAAGGTTATTTCACTATAACCATACTTACTCATTGCACGCCTTCCTCATGCAGCAGATGTTTCTTGGAAAGATAGGCTTGTTGCTTTCCAGAATGCTACTTGATGCTTAATGTCATTCACTGATGCAAAAGCCATCTCTTTTGTAGCAAATGATTAATGTGCTACACGATTTTTGCAGGAGAACAGGAGCCATGTATCTTACAGAAACTTTTTAAAAAATAGTTCCGCTGGCTTTGAAGTTTAGATGCAAGTATGCGCCTGGGTGGTGACTGATAACCCCATCTAAAAGCACGCTTTGACCATCTGCTCATTGGGTCAGATGTTTTTCCTATTAAATGGTCTCTACAGAATGCCCCAGAATTCAAGCACTGAAGACATACAGGAAGAGTGTGTATGGCCTAAATAAGTCCTTTTTAAAATTAACTGACTCTTGCTGTTCAATTTATTCTCACACCACAGTCTAGGGCTACAGAAACTCTCTCTCACAAAGCCACTTTGCTGTCTCTCCAGGATGATTTTTGAAATGGTGACAAATGTTGTTAGGAAAATATCTCTATCTTCATGTTTCAAGAAAATTACAGCATGCAGAGTAGGGAAGCTGGTCAAAAAATAGGTCTGTTACTGTTTTTGTTGGGGGAAAATGTTGCAAAATGTAAACTGTAAAGCATGTGTTAAATAGAGTGGGCCTGCTATATCATATACAAGTGAAAGATGTGCACAGGCCAGTGGATTTGGATCTGGGAGAACTGAAGATACTGGAGAAACTGATGGCAGCTCACAGTAATGGGTCATATTTTGCCTCTTGGTCTTCCCCATTGTGTCAACAGTGATTATATAATGATCCTGCAAGCCGATTTTTAAATCTATTATACACCAATAGTACACCAAATCAGCATATAAGTGTAGGTGTGTGCAAATAAGCTGGAAGAACAGAATCCTATCCCGACCCATAAGCACACCATGGAGCAGCCGTGCAACTCTTCTGTAGCTGCTGCCTCTTCCCATCACTTATGTTTGGGTGCGGGGTTTGTTTTCGTTTCTTTTGTTTACAGCCACTGGTTCTAGTTAAGAGTATATCCAGGGCGGCCCTCCCCTATGTTCCTCTCCGCACTACTTTATACAGAGTCAATTTGAAGCCAGCTTCCATGGCATGCAAAGTATACAGAATGTCAACTCCATGCCTAACGATTCAGAGTGCTCTTGCTTATAAGTGTTTCATACCTTAAAAAAAAAAAATAGCAACAGACATGGTGGATTTCCATATAATCCTATCAGGGCCATATTGTGAACCCCTTACTCCCGTTGGTAAGCAGGTAATTACATGAGCAGAGTAACTCAAGTTAATGGGACTCATCATGCTAGTGGTTGTAAGAGGTTTGCAATCTGGCCCTAAATGACTAATTAAATAATGAATCAGAAAGGGACTGAAAAACTTCCATTATATTAGCTCCATTTTCTACAAAAGAGCCACAAATCTGATTTTAAGAAAGGAAAGAAAAAATGAAACCCTTTTAATATAGAAAATATATTAGCATGTATTTAAATTAAAAATTGATTCTAGACATAATGTATCTGTGGTTAGGAAATGAAGCATTTAAATGAAGTAAATTTCAAAAGAGATGAAATGTGGCATATAATAGAGTTGCTGGAGGCAGCATTCTTAAGCTGACCAGACTTAAGTGTGGTTATTTCGGTGTCCTACTGATAGGATTTTATTTATTTATTTATTTTAAAGATTTTTTTCAAGAAACTTAATTTCATAAGTTGTATTTGAAATCTAATTTCAGGATCAATTACTTTCTGTATCACTGGGTGGTTTCATGAAAAAAATATATTCATAGTAATGCAAATTTCATGTGTTTAGATTTTATTTGAATGCCTAATGAGGAATATGTGCAAACACAACAGACTAAAAGTGTTAGTGTTTCTCTGGGTTGAATGAACAGGGATCAGCTAATACAGTAGTATCAAAATAGACTATGTCTTGCTTGATAGACTGACTAGGTGTGTCTAATATTTTTGTGACTTCAGGGGGTAGAAATGGAAACAGGCATCCAAGATGTAAGGGCAGTTTTCTATGCACTTTAGCTGTGGGCAATATTTTTTGAAGGTGGGTGTGTCACTCCCAATTATGCCACTAAAATAAAGCACTTCTCTTTTTTCAGTGATATATTCAAACTGTACAAATATCCTTTGTAAAAACATGTACGACAAAATCTAAGTATTTAATTTTTATAAGACAATTTTTTTCACACATTTCAAAAAAAAATCTACTATTCTTAGATGTTTTTAGGCTGTAGAAATGCACTACAATGCTCTCCAGCAGATGAATATATATGCAACATGAATATATATGCAACACTTAGATCAGTGCTGAAGAAGGGAAAGGTACAACAACAAAGATTCAAACACTACACAGTTTGGATATGAAAAGCAAAATATGACTTGATATGCAGAGCACTTGGCACATGATTTGAGAGGACAGTCCCACAGCTATTTAAAATAAATAATGAAAGGGTTACATGAAATAGAAAATCTTAGCTTGTACTGCTGGATTGATGTTGTATTAAAATAAACTGAGTGAGTCAAAGTCTTCTACATACCTATATCCTGTTTTTCCCCCTCCAAAAATATTTTCTCTTCTGGATCTATTATAAATATTTATTATGATTCTATTGTTAGCTACCATGGAATTATAGATTTAATAAAATATCTTAGAAATTTAACTAAATATTATGAGGGCTGTTGATTAATCACAGTTAACTCAGGATTAACTAAAAAAAGTAATCACAATTAAAAAAATTAATTGCACTGTTAAAAAATAGAATACCAATTGAAATTTATTAAATATTTTTGGATGTTTTTCTACATTTTCAAATATATTGATTTCTATTACAACACAGAATACAAAGTGTACAGTGCTCACTTAATATTATTTTTATTTCAAATATTGCTCTGGAAAAATGTATAAAAGAAATAGTAGTTTTCAATTCACCTCATACAAATATTGTAGTACAATCTCTTTATCGTGACAGTGTAACTTACAAATGTAGATTTTTTTTGTTACATAACTGCACTCAGATATGAAACAATGTAAAACTTTAAGGACTTCAAGTCCACTCGGTCCTACTTCTTGTTCAGCCAATCGCAAAGACAAACAAGTTTCTTTACGTTTACGGGAGATACTGCCGCCTGCTTCTTATTTATAATGTCACCAGAAAGAGAGAATAGGCATTCACATGGCACTTTTGTAGCTGGCATTGCAAGATATTTACATGCCAGATATGCTAAACATTCGTATGCCCCTTCATGCTTTGGCCGCCATTCCAGAGAACATGATTCCATGCAGATGATGCTAGTTAAAAAAATAATGAATTAATTAAATTTGTGACTGAACTCCTTGGGGGAGAACTGTATGTTCCCCGCTTTGTTTTACCCACATTCTGCCATATATTTCATTTTATAGTAGTCTCGGATGATGGCCCAGCACATTTGTTTTAAGAACACTTTCACAGCAGATTTGACAAAATGCAAAGAAGGTACCAATGTGAGATTTCTAAAAATACCTACACCACTCGACCCAAGGTTTAAGAATCTGAAGTGTCATTCAAAATCTGAAAGGGATTAGGTGCGAGCATGCTTTCAGTAGTCTTAAAAGAGCAACACACTGACACGGAAACTACAGAACCCGAACCATTAAAAAAGAAAATCAACCTTCTGCCAGTGGGATCTGACTCAGATGATGAAAATGAACATGCGTCAGTCCGCATTGCTTTGGATCATTATCAAGCAGAATCCATCATCAGCATGGAAGCATGTCCTCTGGAATGGTGGTTGAAGCATGAAGAGACATATGAATCTTTAGCGTATCTGGCCCGTAAATATCTTGTGATGCCAGCTACAACAGTGCCATGCGAAGGCACCTGTTCTCATTTTCAGGTGACACTGTAAACAAGAAGCGGGCAGCATTATCTCCTGCAAATTGTAACCAAACTTGTTTTGTCTGAGCGATTGGCTGAAGTAGAACTGAGTGAACTTGTAGACTCTAACATTTTCCATTGTTTTATTTTTGAATGCAGTTATTTTTTTACATAATTCTACATTTGTAAGTTCAACTTTCATGATAAAGAGATTGCACTACGGGATTTGTATGAGGTGAATTGAAAAATACTGTTTCTTTTGTTTTTTACAGTGCAAATATTTGAAATAAAAATAATACTAAAAAGTGAGAACTGTACACTTTGTATTCTGTGTTGTAATTGAAATCAATATATTTCAAAATGTAGAAAACATCCAAAATGTTTAAATAAACGGTATTCTA